TGGTGAACGATCGCTCCGGAACTGAGCAAGAGGAAATTCTGGAATGCTTTATTCTACCTTAATATGCGCATTAGAATTCTAGGCACTAAGTAAACAGAATGAACCACAGTTTATGGAAGCGCCATCGAAAGTGTAAATTAATGAGGGTCCGTACGATACAATTGGGAAGGGAATTCGAAGTACATAGCTACGACGACTATTGAAGAAGATAGACGCTGCACTCTACGCCGAATTGTCAAAAATGCTATGTGCTGTACATGTGATGCGTCTTAACTACAACGTGTGGACTTCGTCTACTAATGCGTAGGTTCAACGGATAAGCCATAGTAGGAAAACCAACTATTCGATCACCGTTAAAGTTCATCACGAAGAGAACTATGATTCCGTCAGAGTTCCTAACCCATCGAGCTGTTGATCAAAACAAGAACAATGAGAAAATTTACTGATTTGAGTTATTTGACATTTAACAAAAGAGGAGGTGATGAGGATGACCATCATCTTGTTTGAGGTGTTGTCCCCTAATTGCTTCTTAGAATTTTGTAATGACTGCCTCTTTCCATACTTGTGACGAAAGTATTAGGTCAGGTACCGTGAGAAAGTCGAATGCAGTGTCTTAGGAAGATCAATGGGCCATCAGTATTCATGATGATATAGTTGCGTTATGCTGGATTGTATCTACCCAGCACACCACAATTTTGTTTAATGCAATAATTGTTGTGAAAGCTGAGGCGGTGGTAAAGTACGGTCCTTAGCTGAATCTGAATATGTAATTCGATGCTTGAACTGATTTTTTTTCAACGCCCCTTAAACACAAAATCAGTGGCGAAAATAATTCGGTCAGGTTGTAGCTTAACCATCGTTTTTTCGGTTTGTGCACCTATCGGCACTGGCAGTGGTACAGTGACATGCGATCGCATCACTTCAGAGATTATTGAGAAAATCTGGAAGAAACCTTGCTGAAACATTGATGTTGTGCATAAGCAGGAAAAGCTTTCGTGTACCTGATCGTTATAGCTCTGATGATGATGATCACTAGTCACGATTTCCGACTTCAGTCGGAATAAAACTCTCACTCGATTGCTGAAATACTCCAAAACTGTTTTTCTCCTATGAACAGCAGAACGACATAGTTCTCATAAATAGTGAAATCATTCTAACTCAATGTAACACAGGCCCTAAAAGGATATCTTAACTGTGTTCCTCACGAAATATTTGGACACTTGAATACCATAACAGCAGAATCGCTTTCTTCAGAGCCTGGAAGGGCATAGTGATATGCAATTTGCTACGTCAAACGCTTCAATAACACATACAGAAAGACTAGAATCTAAATGGCAGTCACGTGATCAACAGATTCTCGAAAAATCCACGGTTTTTTACGTGCCTTTCACTGAGGAAGAGCCGCTGATCAGCGTCGTATGTGGTTGACGACTGCACCTCCCCACACCAACGTTCGATACGAAGGTACGGGGCCAGACCACCTGTGATCTCGGGGCATTCCTTCCTGCTGTTCATTTTAAGGTTTTTGGCATTTATCCAAAAAGCCTCAAGAACCTTGCTCGCTGGTGTTTTGGCATCCTGTACGAGGATAGTAACTTTTATATTAAAATCGGGCAGACCTTTATGTATCCGCATAAAAGAACACTTAGCTGGCAAACGAAGAGCAAGACAAGGCACGCCACTAGGAACGCATAGGATACAAAAGCATAGCAGAGACGATTTTCATTTAAAAGTCACTACCCTCGCATGGGATCCTAAAACATCAGCGCGAAAACTTTTTGAGGCCTTTGGATAAATGCCAAAAACCCCACAATGAATAGCAGGGAGGAATGTCTAGAGGTCATACGCGACCTGACCCCGTATGTTCGCATCAATTTCTGATGTGGACTGGTATAGTCATCAATTATATGCGACTATAATCAGCTGTTCTAATCTTCCTCATTGGAAGTCACGTAAAAAGCGGTGAGTGTTTCGAGAAGCTGCTGATCATGTAATTACCATAGAGCTTTTCGTCTTTTCGCAAGTGTTATTGAAGCGTTTGGCCTAGTAAATTGTATATCAGTATACCCTTCCAGGCTCTCAAGAAGGCGATACTGCCGAAACATCGGTTACTGTTGTATTGTATGTGCGTTATTGTATTGAAGTAAACGTACGCTGTTTAACAACCTCGCGATTGCTGAGAAAGAAAACAACACATTTATAATCCAATGCCGAGGTTAATAGAAAGTCAATCTTGGGAACCAGAACAGCACTTCTTCGGGAGAACCAAGTAAGGTGCGCACCACAATTTCTATTTTAGCGACAATGTACTAGTTTGACAAGATTTTCTTCACTGAAGACTACAGATATTCGTTCTAGTTCCTCCACTCATCGCCCGTCGTTTTTTATTGCAGCAACCGATAGAGAATCGAACAACACCAGATCCGTACAGGATAACATCTGAACACCAAAGAACCATTCGCCTGTTCTCGTAAACACACTGGCTCCGCTCTTAATGTGTTATCTGTTAAAATGCAAGAATCGTTCTCAAAGGAAGACCAGCAGGACCGTGTTATTGTTCAAGAAGAGTGACCTGCACGATATCGGCAACTATCGCTCAATATGCTTGCTGTCTGTCGTCTGCACACTTTTTGCTCGAGTCATCGTAAACAGGATGTACAGCACACTGGGCGAACAATATCCATGTGAGCATGCAGGGAGTCCAAAACGATTCAATACGGTGGACCATATCCGGACGACAACAACAAAATTTGAAGTACTACGGGAGTGAAGGAGATCTGTCTTAGTTTCATCGATTTTACGAAAGCTTCTGACTCGTTTAGAATAAAAGCAGCCATGGATGCCCTGGACAACCACGGAGTCTTTCGTTAGTATATGAAGGACCTTTGCGAGCTACATAAAATATTTCGTCAAGAGAATATCCCATTATGCAACGATATTATCACCAAAGTCAATAGAGTGGTTAGATAAGGTATACCATCTCGCCCAAATCATTCACCACCAACGTCATGCGAACAGTGGAATGTGACAACATGGGAGTGAAAGTCGTTGGTCGGCAATCATAATACCTTCGCTTTGCTGATGACATTCTGCTTACAAAATCAAACATTAGGCAAGCGGAAAGAATGCTTGCCGACTTTGATAAGGCCTGTGGAGAAACTGGTCTGCAACTAAATTTCACAAAAACGATGTTCATGAGAAATGGATTGGTTTCGTATGCCCCATTCACGCTCAACGGAACGAATATCTCCGAATGCTCCAGCTGTGTCTATCTAGGTCGAGAAATCAACATGATGAATTACTTAGCTCCAGAATTGAGCAGAAGAAAACGAGCGGCTTGGAGAGCTTTCAAGATCATCGAGGATATAATGAAGAGAACAAAGAGCACCCGACTCCGTGCCCACCTTTTCGATTCAACGGTACTCCCTGTATTAACGTATGCGTCAGAAACCTGGTCGCTGCCTTAACAGGATGAAAAATCGCTCAGTGTTATTAAAGTCGAAAGGACGATGCTAGGAGTATCCCGTTCCACACAATTAAGGGATGGTATGCGAAGCTCCGACCTGCGTCAACGATCAAAAATCAAAGATGCCGTTCTGTACGCCAAACAGTCGAAGATAAAGTGGGTCGGACACATAATGCGTCTGAACGACCACCGATGGACAAGATCCGTTAGTGACTGGATTCCTCGGGATGTCAAACGTACTGCAGAAAGACCACCGACCCAATGGTCAGAGTTCTTCACGGAAAGCCTGAGAGAAAGATATGATGCTCAACGAGTTTAAGCGAACAGAACCCACCGGGCTACTCTTGCACGCGACAGGGAAAAATGGAAGATTTACTGCCATCCACTCGAGTCACTCGACGATTAAGGGGGCTACAGGTGATACAGGCGACGTTAAGATATAAAGAATCGTGGAGTGGAGAAGATAGGTACGGAGTCGGGTGTTCTTTGCCCTCTTCACTACGCCCTAGATGTCTTTGAAAGTCCCGAAGCACCTCGCTTCCTCCTGCTTAACTTTCGAGCTAAGTCGTGCACTATGTTAATTTTCCGAATTAGATACGTAGCTGGAGCACCCGGAGGTATTCATGCCGTCTGACGTGAATACGGAATAAGCTACCAATCCATTCCTCATGAACATGATTTCTGTAACGTTTAGTCTGAGGCCAATCTTTCCACAGGCTTTATAAAAGCCGTCAGGCATTCGCTATTCCACCTGGCTAATGTTTGGTGTTATAAGAACGATGCCTTCAGCAAAGCAAAGATGGTGAAATTTCCAGCCATCGATTTTTACTTCCATGTTACCCCGTTCCGGTGTTCGCATGACATTCTACAGGGTGGCGCTAAACAATTTTGGCAAGATGGTATCGCCCTGCATTACCCCCTTTTGACGTCTATGTTAATATTGTTGTAGAATGGTGGTATCTTGATTGTGAAATGTGTACATAGCTTGCGAAGAATCGTTATACACCAAGTAGAGACGCCATGGCTGTCCAAGGCTTCCGTGACTGCTTCAATATGAACTGAGATAAAAGCCATAATGATGCTGAGATATGTATTCTTTCTTGATAAGCTTGCACGAGGTTGATAAATATATTTATTTTCGGCTAACGTTTCGACGTCGTCGTCTTCCTCAGAGCCGGTGATCCGAGTCCATGGTCCATGCCTGTTGTTCGCCTCGACGTTGCGTCTTCGCCTTCCTGTCGAGCCAGATCCTCCTCAGCGAGCCATCTTCTCGAATGAGGCATCCTCACTCAGTGATGCCCTTTTATACACGATGCTGACGGTGGATATATAATGACAATGTCCGGTGGTAACAACTTGTATTTCTTCCGGACATACATCATTGCGCACATCGTGCAGAGGTCGGTGTATTATCAGCTAGCACAAAGCGTAGTAATATTTCGAAACTGACCTTCCCTAAATCTCGGTGTGACTAATCAATATGTATTCTTTCTTGATAAGCTTGCACGAGGTTGATAAATATATTTATTTTCGGCTAACGTTTCGACGTCTTCGTCTTCCTCAGAGCCGGTGATCCGAGTCGATGGTCCATGCTTGCTGTTCGCCTCGACGTTGCGTCTTCGCCTTCCTGTCGAGCCAGATCTTCCTCAGCGAGCCATCTTCTCGAATCGAATGAGGCATCCTCACTCAGTGATGCCCTTTTATACACGATGCTGATGGTCGATATAATGATAATGTCCGGTGATAACAACTTGTTTTTCTTCCGGACATACATCATTGCGCACATCGTGCAGAAGTCGGTGTTGTTATCAGCTAGCACAAAGCGTAGTAATATTTCGACCATCGACTCGAATTATCGGCTCTGAGGAAGACGAAGACGTCGAAACGTTAGCCGAAAATAAACATCATTATCAACCTCGTGTAAGCTCATGAAAGTAAGAATACATAATAATTCACTGTTTTTCGTGATAATCATTTCCGTGATGCCTCATTCGAGAAGATGGCTCGCTGAGGAAGATCTGGCTCGACAGGAAGGCGAAGACGTAACGTCGAGGCGAACAACAAGCATGGACCATCGACTCGGATCACCGGCTCTGAGGAAGACGAAGACGTCGAAACGTTAGCCGAAAATAAATATATTTATCAACCTCGTGCAAGCTTATCAAGAAAGAATACTTATTGATTAGTCACACCGAGATTTAGGGAAGGTCAGTTTCGAAATATTACTACGCTTTGTGCTAGCTGATAACAACACCGACTTCTGCACGATGTGCGCAATGATGTATGTCCGGAAGAAAAACAAGTTGTTATCACCGGACATTATCATTATATCGACCATCAGCATCGTGTATAAAAGGGCATCACTGAGTGAGGATNATCCTCACTCAGTGATGCCCTTTTATACACGATGCTGATGGTCGATATAATGATAATGTCCGGTGATAACAACTTGTTTTTCTTCCGGACATACATCATTGCGCACATCGTGCAGAAGTCGGTGTTGTTATCAGCTAGCACAAAGCGTAGTAATATTTCGACCATCGACTCGAATTATCGGCTCTGAGGAAGACGAAGACGTCGAAACGTTAGCCGAAAATAAATATATTTATCAACCTCGTGCAAGCTTATCAAGAAAGAATACTTATTGATTAGTCACACCGAGATTTAGGGAAGGTCAGTTTCGAAATATTACTACGCTTGATGCGGAGATATTTGCAAATCTCCGGACCTCTGGTGCCTGCGGTGACGACCGAACATGCTATTACCCTCTCCGGGGGCTATGCATCATTATGGTTATATCAAGTTGTTCAGAAATAAATGAGCATTTTAAAATATTCGTTGCTTTAATGTATTTTTTGCCAATAAAATACTTTTTGTACTTCACAATATTATGCATTATTAGAAAACTGATTTTATGCTTTTTTAGGCGTTTTTTGTTTTATCAAAAGTTGCATTTTTAACCAACTTTTTTTGAGCTTTGCACTTCTAGAAGTCAAAAAGTTTTCGTCAAATTATCTTTTATGAGTTCAAACTTGGTCGTAGAGCAGCAGAGACGGCTCGAAACATTAATGAAGTTTGTGGTGAAGGTAGTGTTGGTGAATCAACAGGGCCAACATGGTTCCGGAAATTCCGATCTAATGATTTCGACCTCGAAGATAAAGAAGACTGCGGACGTCCCACTGAACTTGACGACGGCGAATTAAAGGCACTAGTGGAACCAAACACGCGAGCAACTGTTGGAATGCTTACGGAGGAGCTTGATGTAAATACAGGAACAATTTTCACTCACTCGGACCACATAAGAAACACAAAGAACCCGACAAGTGGGTGCCGCACAATTTGAACGATTATCAAAAAAATTTGCCGTGTTGAAGTGTCGTCAATTCTTATTCTGCGCAAAAAACCGACCCCTTTCTTGATGGAAGACGTGCGGCGACAAGTGGGTTTGATACAACGGAGGGCGTTCATCTCCATGTTTGGATTTCGATCGAACTCCACAGCACTTCCCAAAGCCGAAATTCACCAAAAAAGGTTATAGTGACTGTTTGGTTGTCTGCAGCCCAGTTGATTCATCACAGCTCTTTGAATCCTGGCGAAACGATTACGGCATAGAGGTACTGCTAAGAAATGGACGAAATGCACCGTAAACTTCAACAACGACGATCGTCATTAGTCAACAGAAAACCACTAATCCTTCTCCACGACAACATCCGGATTCACGTTGCGCAACCAGCGCAACAGATGTCGAACGATTTGGGCTACGAAACTTTGCCTTATTCGCCAGATTCACCAGACTTTTCGCCTACTGATCATCACTTCTTCAAGCATCTTGGAAGCTTCCCGCGAGAGAAATGCTTCAGCAACCACGATGGCGCAAAAAATCCCTTCGACGAATTCGTCATTTCCAGAACTCCAGAATTTTATGCAATTGGAATAAAAAACATTTTTCTTCTGGAAGAAGTTGGTAGAACCATAACGTTGCTGAGATATTTGCAAAACTCTGGACCGCAGGTGTCTATGGTGGGGAACGAACGCGCTATTGTCCTTTCCGGGGAGTAACGCGTTTCACCACCACACCATGTGGGTCCTTCGTTTCGCCTGTCTCTCAGCTATTTCTATCGATCTTTGCCACAGCAATCACCCGTCAGCGGGATTGATCTGGGGCGCCCAAATCGGCAAAGAGTTTTTAAGTTTGTAGATTTAAATAGCTTTTATTTTAATTAATAAAGTTTTTTGAAGTGGGTTATGACTCTTTAAATAATGTAGTCAAGAACGCTCATTTATTTCTGGACAACCTAATATTTCACATAGTACCCGGCTATTAAAAAAAAGAGTAAGAACTAAAAAAAAGTGACGACATTAATCACAATTTCAACCCTTTTATTTACTGCCTTTCTTTTTAATGGCAGAGTATGTTAAGATTGTGATTATAACTAAGCCTCAGCTTAACTGGGTTCAATGCCGAATGCGTTCGTTCCCCACCGCATACTCCTGCGGTTCGGAGTTTTGCAAATATCCCAGCATTATATATGAGTTATATGACGACATTAAGTTAAAACAAAGTGGTGTATTGAATTCTCGCAATAGTTCAGTGAGTTTCGCTATTATGTCTGCTCTATTCTATTGAATCGTATTCGATACCCCTTGCATTCTTGTATACAGCGTGTGAAGGACAGAGCTAGCATGTTGATGAGGACTGGCGGAGTTTTCCAGGTGAACAGGCACTATACTTTCTGAAACTGGTGTTTTTCGATTCTTCACTGACGAAACAGCTTGTTAGATTTTTGGAAAGGAGAACCGGTGGGACAACATAGCCATCCTATTTTATTTTATATGAAGGCAGTGGGACGCGGCTGTTAAAGAGATCCGAGTGGTTATCGTAAATGATTTTCACTGTTGCCTTTCTGGAAGCTGTACTGCTCCTAGCCATCGGAGAGTATTCATCTTAGGCCCATAATTGGCGAACTTCCGGTGTAATTTGGGAATACCCTTCCAGCCTGTGCAGATTTGACTGGTACTGCTGCTCTTCTCTGTTGTACAACTTCTTTTATCGCCTTTCTGCAATGTTTTGAAGTTCGGACGTGGGTTCACGGTTGCCTGTGGTTCGTCAGACTCAGTAGCGGATCTGCTGGAGTGTTTCTTTCTAAAGATAGATTTCGCTTGGTTATTTTCGAACTCTTAGCTTTCAGAGGGTAAAGTGAATATGTTAAGTGAGCCGATCATATTCTTCGTCAGTGTTATCTGTAAGGGTGTCTGCCCTGGAGCTCACTAATGATCTCAATAAATACTAGTTTACAATGGTTTTGGGACTTGGTTTCCAAGAGAAATTAAATCTCTTCACGAAGGATGCGATAGTCTGATCTCGTGTAGAATTTTGGAATAACAGCAACATTTGTTGGGCAAGACCTTTGAAATACTTAGTTGTGGTCTGCTTCGTTATTTTACTCACGATACTTTTGGAATTTTGAGTTAGCACGAATGGTTTTGACCGTCATGGTAAACTCAAACAGACCCTTTTCTTGTACGTGCATTCTAATCCGTGAGTCACGATTTGACATTCCACAGGCGTTCTTCTGGGTTCGATATTAGCACTGAAATCTCCAGTGTTAACTTTAACTAATTTCTTCTATATATGGTCTTTTCTGTAGAAGCTCTGAAAATCCGTAAAGAATTCCTTGACTTCGTTTTCGTCATAGTTTGATGTCGGGTCGTAAGGACGAAGATTATCAAATCCGGTATGGATTCACAACTCTTCAACCGTAAACCTCCGACTCGGGTTGCTAACCGCTCGAATGCATCGATGTTCATGGCCAAACTTGTGTTGACGAGAATTCTGACTCCGACGTCGACGACTACGCTACTATCGCTTGTTCCGAGGAACAGTTCTTCTCCGGTGTCATGGATGACGTTAAAGTTGCAGCATCTTCTCTTCTCGGTCAGTCATCATTTGATGTCGTACCTTATCCTTCTACTCCATATTATCTAGTCTTTTGGAAATAGATGCATGTGAACGTCCATTATATTTGAAGATTTTCTTCCCAGTCCTTCCAGGTTCATGCAGCGTAGACTCTGAGGTTTTAGCAGCCTTTTCGTACTCATTCTACCCAACGTTGCCGTACCAAGGCTCCTTCACGGTAAGCACTGTTAGCGTTTTGGCCTCTTGGTTTTCACGTATAGCATGCTTTGAACGGGCGGAGGGAGGAAGAAGAGGCTGTTGTTAGCTTGTTACTCTTCCCCAGAGTGACGAAAAAGTTGTTTGGAAGCGCCTCCTTACCACCTCTCACGTTCTTCTCATTCACTTGATCGCAGGCTTTTAGCAGAACTGACTTATGAGATACAATCCTAATCTAAACGAAAACACCGCTACAGACGCACGCACGAACGTGTCTACGCAGACACAGACAGTTTGTGCCAAATCAGTGCGGGATAAAAAGAAAATCTATCCTCTGAATCCACTTGCTTCTTAGGAAAGCACAAAGTCGCTTTTGGTTTCCATTTATCTCCCTATCCGCCATTTTAGCACTCACCAGGTGGCCTCGTAACTAACCGGCTGAGGATTTTTTCGTGAAAGGGCTTCGTGGGAAATGTCATTTGCTGGCTATTATTGTCGATTGATAAGGATCCATAACCTCATAAGAAGACGTGGCTCGTTTTAAAGGTTAGTTTAAAGGTTAGTGGAGAAGGATTAAACCCAAACTATTGCAAAACTGATTGCCTATTTCTCTAAGACACTGCAGATACAATCAAGCGATTAACTCCGTCCATATTAAGAGATGTAAGTTGATTCGACCAAAAGACTGCATCTAAATAACTGAGCAGCATATTTACCAACAGGCAGTTCGT